TAAAACTATGTATGAGTCCAAAGCATCAGATAGGCACTTATTTCTAATCTTACAAATCAAAATACATGGATAAACTCTTTAACTCTACCTTAAAAATGCACATGCTTGAGATCTGAATATAGTGTAGATTATATAGTTCTAAATTTCATAAAAAGGTGGAAAGAATCCAGAGAATAGTCAAATGAACTCAGGGAAATGAAAGAACATTACAAGAAAATTTGTGGAACGTGAAAGATGAAAAAAACCCAGAAATCAACCAAAACATTTTAGTTTCACTAAATAAAACAATTTAAAAAGATTATTTTATTGAAGTAAGGAGCTGGTAATGCAACCAACCTGTCTATTCAGCAATTTAGTACCCCATTAGAGTCTTTGCTAAAATTGAGCACTAAATTATTTGTTATTTAAACAATCACATCAGGAATAAACATCTGTAAAAACAAACTGCATGACAAGAGCATTTCTCTGTTACTCCAGGAAAGGATATGTTCTTTACAACTGTCTTTTTAGTGAAAAAAAAAACACAAAAAAAGCTTTCTGTAGAAAACTTTTGGGTGCCACAGGGATCAGTTCTTGGCCCTATGCTAGTTAACATTTTTATTAAGAAGAAAACAAAATAATCACTGACAAAGCTTGCGGAGGACACAAAAATTGGGGGGAAATGGTAAATAATGAAGACGACAGGTCACTGATACAGAGCGCAGTAAGGTAGGCACAAGGAAACAGAATGCATATAATATGGCTAAATGCAAATGTATACATTTAGGAACAAAGAATATAGGCCATACTTCTAGGATGGGGACTCCGTCCTGGGAAACAATGACTCAAAAAGATTTTGGGGTTGTCATAAAGGGAAGGGTAACCACCTTTTGTATACAGTGCTATAAAATCCCTCCTGGCCTGTAAAGGGTTAAGAAGCTAAGGTAACCTCGCTGGCACCTGACCCAAAATGACCAATGAGGGGACAAGATACTTTCAAATCTGGAGGGAGGGAAAGGCTTTTGTCTGTCTGTGTGATACCTTTGCCAGGAACAGATCAAGGATACAAGCCCTCCAACTCCTATAAAGTTAGTAAGTAATCTAGCTAGAAAATGCATTAGGGTTTCTTTAAAAAGAAAAGGAGTACTTGTGGCACCTTAGAGACTAACAAATTTATTTGAGCATAAGCTGACCTGTAGCTCATGAAAGCTTATGCTTAAATAAATTTGTTAGTCTCCAAGCGGTCCTTTCCCTGTTCTTTGTCTAAATCACTTGGTGGTGGCAGCATACTGTTCAAGGACAAGGCAAAGTTTGTGCCTTGGGAAATTTTTTTAACCTAAGCTGGTAAAAATAAGCTTAGGGGGTCTTTCATGCGGGTCCCCACATCTGTACCCCAGGAGTTCAGAGTGGAGAAGGAACCCTGATAGGGGTTTTGGTGGATTCAGCTGAATAGGACTTCTCAGTGTGATGGTATGGCGAAAAGGGCTAATGCAATAGTTGGATGCATAAACATGGGAATCTTGAGTAGCAGTAGAGAGGTTATTTTACCTTTGTATTTGGCATTTGTGCAACTGCTGCTGGAATACGGTGACCAGTTCTGGTGTCCATTAATAAACTGGAGGGAGTTCAGAGAAGAGCCACGAGAATGATTAGTACTGTCATGGATGGATATAAACTGTTCAGGAAGGACAGGCAGGGCAGAAAAGGTGGGGGAGTTGCATTGTATGTAAGGGAGCAGTAAGACTGCTCAGAGCTCAAGTATGAAACTGCAGAAAAACCTGAGAGTCTCTAGATTAAGTTTAGAAGTGTGAGCAACAAGGGTGATGTCGTGGTGGGAGTCTGCTATAGCCCACCGGACCAGGGGGATGAGGTGGACAAGGCTTTCTTCCGGCAACTCATGAAAGTTACTAGATCGCAGGCCCTGGTTCTCATGGGAGACTTCAATCACCCTGATATCTGCTGGGAGAGCAATACGGTGGTGCACAGACAATCCAGGAAGTTTTTGGAAAGTGTAGGGGACAATTTCCTGGTGCAAGTGCTGGAAGAACCAACTAGGGGCAGAGCTCTTCTTGACCTGCTGCTCACAAACTGGGAAGAATTAGTAGGGGAAGCAAAAGTGGATGGGAACCTGGGAGACAGTGACCATGAGATGGTCGAGTTCAGGATCCTGACACAGGGAAGAAAGGAGAGCAGCAGAATACGGACCCTGGACTTTAGAAAAGCAGACTATAACTCCCTCAGGGAACTGATGAGCAGGATCCCCTGGGAGAATAACATGAGGGGGAAAAGGAGTCCAGGAGAACGGGCTGTATTTTAAAGAATCCTTATTGAGGTTACAGGGACAAACCATCCCGATGTGTAGAAAGAATAGTAAATATGGCAGGCGACCAGCTTGGCCTAACAGTGAAATCCTTGCTGATCTTAAACACAAAAAAGAGGCTTACAAGAAGTGGAAGATTGGACAAATGACCAGGGAAGAGTATAAAAATATTGCTCGGGCATGCAGGAGTGAAATCAGAAAGGCCAAATCACACCTGGAGTTGCAGCTAGCAAGAGACATGAAGAGTAACAAGAAGGGTTTCTTCAGGTATGTTAGCAACAAGAAGAAAGTCAAGGAAAGTGTGGGCCCCTTACTGAATGAGGGAGGCAACCTAATGACAGAGGATGTGGAAAAAGCTAATGTACTCAATGCTTTTTTGCCTCTGTCTTCACGAACAAGGTCAGCTCCCGGACTGCTGCGCTGGGCATCACAACATGGGGAATAGATGGCCAGCCCTCGGTGGAGAAAGAGGTGGTTAGGGACTATTTAGAAAAGCTGGACGAGCACAAGTCCATTGGCCCGGATGCACTGCATCTGAGAGTGCTAAAGGAGTTGGTGGCTGTGATTGCAGACCCATTGGCCAGTATCTTTGAAAACTCATGGCGATCGGAGGAAGTCCCGGACGACTGGAAAAAGGCTAATGTAGTGCCCATCTTTAAAAAAGGGAAGGAGGAGGATCCTGGGAACTACAGGCCAGTCAGCCTCACCCCAGTCCCTGGAAAAATCATGGAGCAGGTCCTCAAGGAATCAATTCTGAAGCACTTAGAGGAGAGGAAAGTGATCAGGAACAATCAGCATGGATTCACCGAGGGCAAGTCATGCCTGACTAATCTAATTGCCTTCTATGACCAGATAACTGGTTCTGTGGATGAGGGGAAAGCAGTGGACATGTTGTTCCTTGACTTTAGCAAAGCTTTTGACACGGTCTCCCACAGTATTCTTGCCAGCAAGTTGAAGAAGTATGGGCTGGATGAATGGACTATAAGGTGGATAGAAAGTTTGCTAGATTGTCGGGCTCAACGGGTAGTGATCAATGGCTCCATGTCTAGTTGGCAGCCGGTATCAAGTGGAGTGTCCCAATGGTCAGTCCTTGGGCCGGTTTTGTTCAATATCTTCATAAATGATCTGGAGGATGGTGTGGATTGCACCCTCAGCAAGTTTGCAGATGACACTAAACTGGGAGGAGAGGTAGATACGTGGGAGGGTAGGGATAGGATACAGAGGGACCTAGACAAATTAGAGGATTGGGCCAAAAGAAATCTGATAAGGTTCAACAAGGACAAGTGCAGAGTCCTGCACTTAAGACGGAAGAATCCCATGCACCACTACAGACTAGGGACTGAATGGCTCGGCAGCAGTTCTGCAAAAAAGGACCTAGAGGTTACAGTGGACGAGCAGCTGGATATGAGTCAACAGTGTGCTGTTGCTGCCAAGAAGGCCAATGGCATTTTGGGATGTATATGTAGGGGCATTGCCAGCAGATTGAAGGACTTGATCATTCCCCTCTATTCAACATTGGCGAGGCCTCATCTGGAGTACTGTGTCCAGTTTTGGGCCCCACACTACAAGAAAGATGTGGAAAAATTGGAAAACGTCCAGCAGAGGGCAACAAAAATGATTAGGGGACTGGAACACATGACTTATGAGGAGAGGCTGAGGGAACTGGGATTGTTTAGTCTGCGGAAGAGAAGAATGAGGGGGGATTTGATAGGTGCTTTCACTACCTGAAAGGGGGTTCCAAAGAGGATGGATCTAGACTATTCTCAGTGGTAGCAGATGACAGAACAAGGAGTAATGGTCTCAAGTTGCAGTGGGGGAGGTTTAGGTTGGATATTAGGAAAAACTTTTTCACTAGGAGGGTGGTGAAATACTGGAATGCATTACCTAGGGAGGTGGTGGAATCTCCTTCCTTAGAAGTTTTTAAGGTCAGGCTTGATTTAGTTGGGGATTGGTCCTGCTTTGAGCAGGGGGTTGGACTAGATGACCTCCTGAGGTCCCTTCCAACCCTGATATTCTATGATTCTATGATTAAAGGATTAGAAAGCATGCCTTATAGAGTGATAGACTAAAGAAGCTCAAGCTATTTAGTTTACCCAAGAGAAGGTTAAAGGATGACATGATTACAGTCTGTCTGCACCCAAATGGGGAACAGATATTTGATAATAGGCTCTTCAATCTAGTAGACAAAAGGTATAACATGATCCAATGGCTGGGAGCTGAAGATAGACAAATTCAGATGGGAAATCAGGGGCGCCGGAATGGGAGGGCCAAGGGGCCATGGTCCTCAAACTTTTGAAAGTGGATGGGCCTGTCCTGTCCACTTTTCACCATGCGCCTGGCCCCCTGCTCCTTCAAAGACTTAAAACTTGGCCAAATTCAAGTGGATTTTCATGGGGAAGACAAGAGTCACATCCTTGACACAAAAATCAACCCTCTTGCTCCAAAGCACAGGGGTGCTAAGGCAGTTCAAAGAAGAGCAAGAAATATTTAACCTGGGCTAAATAATATTTTTTCCTTTGCTTCATTCTCAGAAATGGTGAACCATTTCAGCTGAAGTTTTCCAAAAAATCCAGCTGAAGGCAGAAAATTAGTATTAAAAATCTGGGCCCAAACTGTTAAAGTACAGCAAAGTTATAAGCAAGTGAAAACATGATCTTATAATGGGAGGTGGTGGGCAATTTTAACAACACAAACAATAATATACATAATTTATACACATTTATTTTACAGTATTTTTGCCAGTTCTGAAAGATGAATCCAAGTCCAAAAAATGTTAACTGGCTAGTTCCTTTCAGACGATTTCGCAAGATGTAGAACTCAAACATGGTGTGTATTTTAGTGTGAAATACAGTGAAACAGCAGCTTTTTAACGAGTCTAACATTTACTCAGAAAATAAGCTCTCAATCAGCTATTGGAGTTATCAAGTATAAATAAAATTCATTATGCCTGATCCTCAGGGTCGATTACATTAGTGAGCACTTACGGTTATGAGTAGTCGCACTGACTTCTACCATCCCTAGATTTCATTGGGACTAGTCATGCAAATCAGCACTCACCAGTGTGAGTAAGAGTTTCATAGTCATGCCCATAGCTACAGTGTACTTAAAAACAATTGATGCATTTTATACTCCAGTAACAAATGATAGTAACAATAATGTAGATTGGAGATATATTTACAAAGAAGATGTCAAATATTTAAGTGTGAACACCTACTCCAATGGGCAGATATTGGATTGATATTTAAAATAAACTCCTCTTAAACAAATGTTCAAAGTACTGTTCCTGTCTGCATATAAAAACACTGAAGGATTTTTCATTCTTCTATATTTCTTATATAGTAAGATATACAGCAATATGTAACTACAATATTGGCACCAGATAATTAATGATATATAAAGGACTCTAGAATTACTTCTACAGCTTTTGCCGCCCCTAGAACTACTTTGACAAGATATTTCTTAATTTTTGAATCGAGTTAGTCACCTACTTTAGTTAGTACATAGTGCTTGGCTTTAAAGGTACAATTTCTATGAACTTTACAAAATCCATCCTGGAATATTCATGTATATGACAAACAAACCAAAACCCTTTTTGTAATCTTCAAATCCAATTCAAAAGTTTTGTTTAACTATCAGAAATGCCCTTTTATTACCCCTTCCCTATGATGGGACTTCAAGAGGAGTATGGAAACCATACAGAATTTTATGCATGAACTAGCTATACTGTACATTATTCAGTAAGCTGTCAAGAACTGAAGTTCTACTTTCTGAGCAGCAATTAAAAGGAAAATTCTTGGCTTAGTCAGAATACTGATATCAAAATACAAATTTAAATAATTTACTCTAAAAGAAAATAATTCATGTTTATAGCTTCTTAGTGAAAATAGACAGTTCCTCTGCCTATTAGACAGGCCTCAGCTTTTCCAGTTCCAAGGGATACAGAGGTCTCCATCTTGCAACACTGAATAAAAGTGTGAAATGCAGAGGTGCATGCCTTGCAGGTATGGGAGCGATTCTTCCAGCAGTCGCTTACAACAATCTATCATCTGTGCATGTGAAATACTTGGCTCCTTATACAGTTGTTTCAGAGAAAATTTTTCAGTGGAAGCACTGATTAGCTCTTTTTCCATCACTGTCAACCTAGTATATTTTAAAAAGTTAGAAATTAGTGCTAAATATGAGGACCAAATACAATGATAAAATTAGTGCTTGGGCCTCCCCCCCCCAAATGTCCTTGAAAGACAAATATTTATATACAGTGTGCATTTAGTTTCAATTTTTTCAAGTGTAGGTATAGTGTGACAGTTTTGAACGTGTAAAAATCTAACGTTTTTGTGTACAAATATGCAAACTGTGTGCGCGCAAGTGATTATGCCAAGTTGAGTACCTACGAAAGGAGGCCACATTTTAAAAACATTGCTGACTCACTTATTTGAAGAGCACTTTGTCGTTAAAAAAAGTCATGAGACTTCATTTTCAAGGCATCTTAAAGATAAAAACGTTTGTTCCTTTTTGAGATATTTAGTCAGCATTAAGAAACTAGGCTTGAAAGTATAAAAATAATTTCCTCATGTACCCACCTATCAAACCCTATATTCAGTATTCTGCAGGTGACTGAAAACACTGGATGACATCAAACAAAGGGGAGTGTAGCCACCTGCTCTATTTTAGGTGTTTGTAATATAGTTTACTGTTGCAAGAGAAATTCAGAATTCTTAACTCAGGACTTCGCAAATTAAATTATTTTTCAGTTCACCGTAGACAAAAAGGAATAAGAATAAACCAACTGACAAATCCAGCTTCTTTAAAGAAAAAGCTAGTATGTATGTACATTTGAGAACTGCAGTTTTAAAAAGCTGTCATGTAATACAAATCTGACAGTGTTGGTACAGATAAATGATAGACAAACTGAGCCATTCTAAATCCTGTATTGCTAAAACACTTTTACATATCCTATATGGGAGGATATACAGTTCCTTTATTTAATACAATCCTAAGGAGGATGCAAACAAACAGCCGAAAGTTTCACATGTACTGTGCTTAAGATTCAGATAATAAACAGGATACATGTGCAGACTTAGGATGTGTCTACATTATGGAGACTATACCAACATAACTTTGTTACTGTAGCTATGCCAGCATGATCTCATATATTGCAAGTGCAGCCTACACCAAGAGAGGGTGTTTTCCCAAAAACACCACCTCCCCAAATGATAATAGCTGTATTGACAGAAGTACTATTCCACTGACATAGATGCGTCTACACTTCGGGGTAGGTCGGCAGAGCTATGTTGGTAAGGGGTGTACATACTGACTCTTGAGCAGCGTAGCTATGTCTGTCTATTTTTAAGTGTAAGGCAGGCCTTAAAAATTACACCTTTACACCATGATCCTGAAACTGGATTAGTGCAGGCATCCCCTTGCACCTGCCTGGAACTCTGCATGAGCATCAGGGGCAGCCTCTTGCATTGTTCCAGCTGCAAGTTTGGGTCCTCAAAGATCAGTTTTAATTGGTTAGATTGGTATTCAAAAATTCTGGGTTCTTATTTTCTCCTGAAGTACCGATTATATGGTAAGCTCTCGAACAGTGAAGGGAGCTGCATCATCATGCTGCATTACGTGTTTGTGATTTCACTAACACTAACTCTGAATTCAGGTCTTGCCAAATAAGTAAAAAAAGAGGAAAATTTTCAGCTGTTTTAAAACATATTTATTTCTAATTTGAGTCCATATTAAGGATTCAGGACCTTAAAGGAAGATTTTAAAAACCTTTACTTGTATGTATCATAAAATATTTCCATATTCAATAAAGAATGCTCAATTGTGGAAATTATTGAGTTTCTGCATACTTTAGAAAGATTATTGAAAAATCATCAAGAGAAAGTTTCATTATATCTTATAAACAAAAAAAATTAATTTTGTAATGAAATACAGCTGCTATGTAAACTGATAAGGAAGCAGTCAGCTGAACAGCAGTTCATAACAAATGACAGTTGGATGAGGTAATATATTTTATTGGACCAACTACTGGTGAGAGACAAGCTTTCAAGTTGGGTAAAACAGCAGATAGAACAGTGGCGGGAAAGGTGAGAACCTTTTTTGTAGGAAAAAGTTAACTCCCTTTTATATATCCTCAAATTTCTCTTATTGTTATAGATGTAAAACAAATAATTCAGTAATACAAGAAGTAGAAGAGAAACACAAGAGCTAGTGTACAAACTTGTTGAGAATACTTACTCTTCCTTTCTTTTCAGATTCTCTCTTGCTTGCTGTGCTTTGGTAATAATAAACCACTGAAGGGTTGCTGGATCACACATTGTTGGGATGTTAAAATGACCAAGTTCATGCAAGCTTGGAGCATACTTATCACTGTAATGAAACGTGATGCAAGTCAAAATAGGTGTATCTTATCACTTTTTGTACGAAAATATTGGTCATGGACAACAGAATGAGGAATTAAGGATAAGAAAATCCCACCTGATCAATAAATTCTAAATAATTCTTTGGTAAAGGTTTGAGGCATGAGTACAGAATGTTATTTTAGGTGTTCTGATTTTTTTTTTTTTTTTTTTTAATTTCAGGAGTGTGGATCAGCAGAAGCAACTCAAAAGATACATATTAGTTTCCTGCTGCAGACAAACTATTGACTCACAAAACTTACTTTTTTTCCAGATAATTTCTCAGAGATTTAAACAAAGATTTAGATTTCAAAGGACTTTCTCCATTAGTTTAGCAATTTTAAGATACATTAAAATTTTACATTTAGCAGTCTTGTCAGAACCCTAACAAAACAACTGCAACTGAATTTCTTGAATCCTGCGTTCAACCAGTCCAATGATCTTATTAGCACCATACGTGGATGAAAAGCTTGCTCTGAAATGAATTCAAGCCAAGTACTCTCTTAGCAATAGCACATTATCTTAGTCACATAAACAAAGCCTAAATACATATGCCCTGGGCAGGGACTTCTACCCCCATTGAACTACAGTGGCTTATTAGATGCACATACTTGTGTGTCAGTGTAACAGCTGTTCATATGCTTGACAGATTGTTTAATCTATTCAATGCTATATTCCGTGCAGATGAGTTTAGAACGACAAAAATGCTATCCTCGCTGGATGTGCATGATTTCCTTCTAGCTAACCTATCTCCAACTCAAGAAAAACAGTTTGACACAGTTACATCATTTAGAAACAGATCATACTGATTCCATAACTACAAACAGGATTGACAGTGCCTAGTAAGTTGTAATGTGTGCATATTGTTTACAGGTTGTGCAGTCTTAATTAACTTGATGCAGGCAGTTAATATTTCCTGACGCTACTTTAAAAATGTAAAATGTATTACAAACAGGGGATGTGAAAATGCCAAAGGAACAATATTTCAGCAAATGAGACTTTATGTATTGCTCTTAGTAATACTACAATCAGCATAGAGTGTAAAATGACCAAAAAGCTTTATAGAAGCAGCTATCCTGCAGACACATACCTTTCTAGAATCATTTGCAAGCCACGCAGACTACGAGGGTGAAATGATAGCCTACTGTTTAGCAATCTATTATAAAAAGCATCAAGAGTGGTGTAATACTCTTCAAGAGTTAGCAGTGGTTGCAGTTCTTCAATGTATGTTATTTGTATGCCTCCTAGAAGATGACTTATACGGTCCTCCAAAAGCAGCATCTTCTTTTGAAGTTTATAATAGCTAGGCAATCTCTCAAAAATCTGCACACACAAAAATACATTTCCTATAATTACACACAACACATGATAAAACTCTCTCCAAGAAATTAAGCGCTTATTAATTCACAACGGAATGAACCCTGAAGAAAATTAAGTATCTAACGATTCAAACAGAGAATTTAAATGTTACAACTGAAATTTTTATGCACTGTGAACACAAACTTGATTGGTAGGGCTGGGTGAACAGACAATGTTGTTTTGGGGGGCCAGTTGAGGAAAGAGAGAGGGTTACACAGAATCTCTATGAGAAGTTATGCTTTTTTGCTGGATTTTGTCCTACAAAGAAGCATTCATGTGTAGCCACTGACATGAGGGCTCATACACAACTACTGACAGATTAAAAAGTGTTCTCTCACTGCACTTCTAGCCCCATGTGTATGGTCCATAGTGTACAATAGAAGTGGTAACAGTAAGCTGTGTGCTTGTGAATGAAGAATGAGAGGGCGTGACTGTTAGGCAGCTGTGTGTGTGTGTCACATTGTATATGTAGCAACCCTGTTTCAGAATGACTTTTGTGTATTTATATATAAAAATATATGACCGCTTGTGTCCCATTATTATACACATTACCTTGATATACTAAATAAGATGACTAGTATGACATGGCCTATGAATTATAGGTTGTATATGTGCTAGTTTATCTAAAGTACATTAATTATACACATTGAATTTTTAAATGTGCATATGGACATAAATGAGAAAGAAAACGTTTTAGCTGTAGATGTACCGATGCCAACATATACTAGAATTGCACACAGGCATCAGCGTACCATGCTGCAGTGTGAACTGAAGGATCTTTCTCTTCCTTCTGTGCAAAAAGTCTGAGCTATCAGCTTGACTGAATAGAGAATAGTTTCAAAAGAAAAGACCGTGACAAACACTCAGTGGTACTAAAGTGGAAATACAACCTTGTCTACATACAGATTTGCTCTGGTTTAATTAAAGGTGTGTTTTTAAACCAATTTAGTTAAATCAGTGCAAGACTGTGTGTACTTTTATTTTGGTTTAGGATTGGTTTAAGCCTATAAAAATGAGAGATTCAGTTCAACTGGTGAAGTTTGGCTGTAGACAAGACCTTCCAAACAGCAAACGCTGATCAGATAAGAATGAAAGCAGATCTTGCCAACAGTGATTATACCCCAGAATGGACAGCTAATTTAGCAATATTCATTAATGTTGCATTATTTCCATCATGAAGAAGTCAAAGGGAAAGCTGCAATTTCCCATGATAATTTGCAGCAGGAGGTCCAATCTGGTTATACAGGTAATGCAGTTGTTACCTTTTGCATACGATGACAAAGCAGGTGACTTTCAAAGTTATTTTAAGTTGTTTTAATTATGCTGGTCAATTTCTCATTAGTTTTAACTACAATATTTCAAAAAGGAAGTGAATTTACCTTTCAAGAACTTAAAGACTTTAAATCACACATTATCCTATACTAGTCTCAAAACATCAGCTTCCGACTCAATGTTTAAAAATACATTTAAGACACTAAATCATTAGAAGTTGTAATTTCTCTTTTTAATTAGACAAGGTGGTAGTTTGGAATCTGAACATGCAACTTCTATTAAAAAGTGTGAACATTCAAAGCACCTTCTCTCAAACTTTTTCTATTCAATATGCTTTTGAATGAATTTTGCATTTAATTCCAATTTCTCAATTTACCAAAGATATAAATCATTCATCTTAACAAAACAGGAAAGAGAGTTAATAGAAACCTCTCACTCTACTGAGCTTACATAGACAAGGAACTAATCATCTGCTATAGAATTTTGTGTTGAGGAGCTGACTGCAATGTTAACTGCAGGATGTAAGATAGTAATTTTATGGTCCTGCACTGCAACATTGTACATTTCCAAACAAGATAACTCACTCACCCACCTCCCGTTCTTTCTTTTTGAATTTTATCCACATTTGTCTCCTTTTATGCAAGTCCTTTAAAAGCAGTAACTTCTCAGGTGACCAAATGCTACTCACTTATGTGGGCCAAGACCTGACAATACTGAACTAAACTCATTGGTGCGAAGAGTGATAATTCTGCATATGCCCTATGTAAATCTCCTCTTCAATGCCTACAATTCATATAATTGAACTGCACATTGCTAAATTTAAATTCACTGGAACTATGAAATATATGAAAATCATGTTTGAATGAAGTGACAAATATTTTCAGACATTTTGTTAAGTGATATCCTGGTGGTATCTGTATTATGTTAAAAGATTACTCCCTATAGTTCTTTGGAAACTATATATTATTATTAAAAAATGCCACAGAGTTTGCCACAGCCTGTTTGCAACAACAAACATTGAAATACCTATAGAAGTGTGTAAATAAAGGAGACACAAAAACGGATTCTTTCAGTATAAGATGGCTAGTTAATGAACAAGATGGAGTGCTGGGTACAGAAAGAGTAGTTTAGTAGATGTTGCAAAAAGAATTTGTGATCAACACAGCTCCCACTGAAATAAAGAGCAAAAAATTCCCACTGAGTTCCCAGTGGTAGTGGGTTTTTTTTGGTTCATTGAGACATTTTAGGGATGAAGAAATATTTCACCCGTGTGTGATCATGTTGCATTCTAGTTGTGAAAAAAGCCAATTTTGTTCACCCTTAGCATTAGACCAGAAGTTGATTTACTAGCAGAAACTGCAGTAAAAACTCAACCAGAAAGATTATGGTTATTATTAACATCTACTGCAAAGGATTCGGTTTATAATGCAAGTATCAAGTTACGGTGAACATAGTAACTGCATGCATTACGTTAAGTTACTTACCAGTTACCTGTAGCAATTCATATCTTGGTTATAAACCTTTTAAAAATAAGTCATTTATACAAGGTGCCATTAACTAAATTAAGAAAAATATTAACTATCCTTTATCTGAAATTCTCTTACTTCGATCCAGTGGTGGTGAACATCCATTGTGCCTAGCATGACGTGGCCTGTTGCACTCATACCTGAACAGTCCGTGAATACTACTGTATGTCCTAATAATGAAACACAGTTTTTAGTCACTTTCCACAACTATGTAAGCCTTAACAATACTATTGCGTTTCACCAACAGTAAATCTTCACAACACAGACAAAAGTAAGTAGAAGCTTTTGCTACTCCCATCAATTGGAAACTCTCGTTCTGAAAGCTTAAATTCAAGGATTTTTCTACACGAAACTTGACCTAGTATTTTCCTTCCCTCCCACTGCGTAGTTTCACTACTTAGAATCTTATCTTATAGAGAGACTATTTTTGGACAACTATCAATATTGGGACAATACCATATTTAAACAACCCACAGAACACTGTATGCACTCAAGAAACAAACCATTAGATCACTATTATTTGTATTAAATAAAGTAACTTTAAGCTGAATATGGTAAATATTGCCCAGATCACCACTATAACATTTCCTGGGGGGCACCCAGGGTTGTGAGGCACCTCTCTACCACTTGCCCTTAGAGTGAAGAAGCCTTGTCTGTGCCTGCCATGGATCAGCTCCCCAACCTCATCAGCCTCTGGCAATATAAGCACTCCCCTCTAGGCCTCTGTCACTCTGTAGGTTAGTGATAGGCATGCTCCAGCCCTCCAAGTATCTCCTTGGAGTGTCCAGCCCCCATCTACTGGCCACTTGCAGTATTCACTGATTAGCTGCTTCCAAAGAAACAGTACATCCCAGCTTACCAGTTGCACCTCAAATCACCACTCCACTTAACTCACAGTGTTTAGGTTCGTTTACAGTGACATCAAATGCAAGTTTAACAAAGCACAGAGATTCAAATAGTAACAAGGAGAAATATTGTAAACCAAAGGTTACATATTAAATAAAATCATAACACACAATCTAGAGCCAGACTTAATTAACAAGATACTCTCATGTCTAGTACAGTATTGCTCACCCAAAATCCTTGCAGTGCTTTACAGCTAGGTTGGCTGTGACCCTTTTTTCATGAGACATGCATGCTGCCAGTTTGCGTCCTAGATGAAGGATTTTGCACTCCAAAATAAAGCAGAGCAATCCTTTGTCTTTATTCATAGAGGACACCCCCCCCCCCACTATTAGTTTCTTCCTGCAGATTTCCTCTCTTGCAGATTTTCCAATCTCTCAGTTTGCACCCAGCTCAGTATGCAAATAAGCATACAATACACAAATGGCCAGACAAAGAGACAGGTATCTGTTAGTTACCTCCTTCTTGAAAGGAACATCTCCATGGTACATCACCTCCTGGTGACCTGCATTAAGTTCAAGACCTTAAGAGCATAATTTTCAGTACAGATACATAACTTCTTAAATATTATATGTACATGGATTTCACAATGGATTATGACAAGCAGTGGATAACTGGCTTTCAGTAGAGACCTCACACGCCACCCTTTGGTGAACTTTTATGCAGATATCTGACCCCAGGTATCCCTATATTATGTGTATATTATTGTGTATGATAATCCTTGATTATCATACACATTGTAAGGAGAGTGGTCACTTTGGATAAGCTATTACCAGCAGGAGAGTGAGTTTGTGTTGGGGGGGGGGTGAGAAAACCTGGATTTGTGCTGGAAATGGCCCACCTTGATTATCATACACATTGTAAGGAGAGTGGTCACTTTAGATAAGCTATTACCCAGCAGGAGTTTGGGGTGTGTGTGTGAGAAAACCTGGATTTGTGCTGGAAATGGCCCAACTTGATTATCATACAGATTGTAAGGAGAGTGATCACTTTAGATAAGCTATTACCAGCAGGAGAGTGGGGTGGGAGGAGGTATTTTTTTCATGCTTTTTGTGTGTATATAATAAGATCTTCTACACTTTCCACAGTATGCATCTGATGAAGTGAGTTGTAGTTCACGAAAGCTTATGCTCAAATAAATTGGTTAGTCTCTAAGGTGCCACAAGTACTCCTTTTCTTTTTGCGAATACAGACTAACACAGCTGTTACTCTGAAACCTATATACAATCCTACACACCCTCTGTGCTGTTTGATAGCCTTCTCTCTCGCCGACATAATGCTGTGCACACGAGTGCTTACACCGGCAAAACTTATGTCGCTTGGGGTGTGTGCTTTTTTCACACCCGAGTGACAAATGTTTTGCCCTCAGAAGTGTTTGTGCAGACATGGCATTAGTTTTCCATGAGAAAGACAGAGTTGAAAGGAACACTCCCAAGGAGTCATCTCAAAAACAGGGATAAAAGGAAATAAAAGTATTCTCATAATGACCTCTACCTACCTGTAAGACAGTAATTATTCCTGGGGGTGGGAAAGAAGGCTGAGACTGCGGACACAGTTAATCATCCGAGTATTCATCTAGGGCAGAGGCCAAATTTGCGGGGTCCAAGGAATAATTATATATACAATCGTATATTAGCATATTGATACTTCTCATCGATAAACATTACCTTTCCAAGGTTCTTTATAGGGTTGAACAATGTGGGACAATCTCACCTGTCTTTTAATTTAATAAGTGAGTTCTCAAGTGAACGAATGATTATTCAAAACTGAGAATCTTGAGAAAGACTAAGTGTGATGCCATGTGTGCTGGCCAACAGTTATTGCCACAGATCAAGCTGCTGTATCAGAGGAGTCACATGGTAACCTGAAAGTGTTCAGAGATGCTCAATCCTTCTTGGACAAGAGATTTGATTTCAGAATGTAGGTCTTCTGGAATATGATCTACAAGAGAAGATTACTTGACCCAAGTAAAAAAAGTTCTTAGAAGCCCTACTGGCCAGGTAATTGGGTATTCTGAGAGTTAGTGATCCATCTTTTTGTCTCCTTGTCCCCAAGGAAAGATTATAATTACTACAACAACTTACTCATTTCCAGGGTAGCAGAGACCATAAGTGAACCCAGTATCTGGTTCTGGTTCTAATGGCCTGTGATGGGATGTTAGATGGGGTGGGATCTGAGTTACCCAGGGGAAAGAATGTTCTGTAGTATCTGGCTGGTGAATCTTGCCCATATGCTCAGGGTTTAGCTGATCGCCATATTTGGGGTCGGGAAGGAATTTTCCTCCAGGGCAGATTGGAAGAGGCCCTGGAGGTTTTTCGCCTTCCTCTGTAGCATGGGTCACGGGTCACTTGCTGGAGGATTCTCTGCTCCTTGAAGTCTTTAAACCACCATTTGAGGTCTTCAATAGCTCAGACATAGGTGAGGTTTTTCGCAGGAGTGGGTGGGTGAGATTCTGTGGCCTGCGTTATGCAGGAGGTCAGACTAGATGATCATAATGGTCCCTTCTGACCTTAGTATCTATGAATCTATGAACTTTTGTCCTGCCTGGGGCACCTGTTAGTTTATCATTCTTCTTGGACACTGGTGGCATGGATGAAGCAGAGAGCCACAGATCTCAGGTAGTTTCAGAAGTCCCTCTGACAGAAAAAGCTATCTTAGAGTCATTTGTCTGGACTGTGTAACTATTTGTGGGATTTCTCCTCCATAGTGCAAACAGGCAAATGTAGTTCTTTCACCTGTCTATCCAATGAACCTTAAATAACTTGTATTCATCAAGAGGTAAGACAGAAGCTGAGTCTAGTGTCATCTAGGTCAGGAGAGCTAAAGATGGAGGAAGGAGCTTCTAATCCTTTACTGCAGGGGTAGCCAACCTGTGGCTCTGGAGCCACATGCAGCTCTTCAGAAGTTAATATGTGATTCCTTGTATAGGCACCGACTCCGGGGCTAGAGCTACAGGCTCCAACTTTCCCATGTGCTGGGGGCTGCTCACACTCAACCCCTGGCTCTGCCACAGGCCCTGCCCCCACTCCACCCCTTTCCACACCCTCCCCTGAGCCTGCCATGCCCTTGCTCCTCCGCCCCAGAGCCTCCTGCACGCCACGAAACAGCTGATCAGGAGGTGCAGGGAGGTAGGGGGAGGTGCTGATCGGTGGGGCTTCTAGTGGGTGGGAGGTGCTGGGAGGAGCTGATGGGGGGCTACTGGTGTATTACTGTGGCTCTTTGGCAATGTACGTTGGTAAATTCTGGCTCCTTCTCAGGCTCAGGTTGGCCACCCCTGTTTTACTGAAAATAACTTCCCAATGATTCACCCTTTCTAATCCGAAGGATCCTCTTGAAGAGCAGTCATCGCTACCCCTGTGAGTTGATCTGGGACACTCTGATGACAATACATCTTGATTCCTACATGTATACTTCTCTGAAGGAATGCAAAGAGACGGGGCATTAAGCCCAGGTTCACATGGGCCATAAGAATAAGGGGGTTGTGTATAGGAATCTCAGGTTCTAAAGCAGGGGTGGACAAACTATGGCCTGCGGGCTGGATCTGGCCTGTCAGCAATTTTAATTTGGCCCTTGAACTTCTGCAGGGAGCAGGGTCTGTGGCTTGCCCCACTCCAGCACTCTAGCCGGGGAGCAGGGTTAGCGGCCACTCTGCACGGCTCCCAGAAGCAGCAGCATGTCCCCCCTCCGACTCCTACGTGTTGGGACAGCCAGGGGGCTCTACTCCGCACACTGACCCCGCAGCTCCCATTGGCCAATGGGAGCTGCAGGGGCGGCGCCTGTGGATGGGGCAGCACACAGCAGAGCTGCCTCGCCGCACCAGTGCGTAGGAGGCAGAGGGGGGACATGCAGTTGCTTCCAGGAGCTGCTTGAGGTAAGTGCCACCTGGAGCCTGCACCCCTGAGCCACCCTCCCATGCCCCAACCTCTTGCCCCAGCCCTGATCCCCCTCTGTCCTAGCTCAGAGCACTCTCCTACACCCCAACCCCACCCCAGAGCCTGCAGCCCCACCCCATGTCCCAACCCCCTGCCCCAGCCCTGATCCCCCTCCCACACTCCAAACCCCTCTGTCCCAGCCTGGAGCCCCCTCCTACACCCTCACCTCCAGCCCCACCCCAGAGCCCTCACCCCCGCCCCACCTGCCCCAGCCTAGAGCCCCCTCCCACACCCTGAACTCCTCATTTCTGGCCCCACCCCAGAGCCCACGCCCCCATCCACAGCCCTCACCCCCTCCCGCACCCCAACCCCAATTTTGTGAGCATTCATGGCCCGCCATACAATTTCTATACCCAGATGTGGCTCTCGGGCCAAAAAGTTTGCCCAGTCCTGTTCTAAAGTGTCTGTGCCTTCATACCTAAATGTTTCTCTGGCAAATAAAATACAACTCAGTATTTGGAAGCATGGAGTTGACTCGCGTGAAGACTAAAAATACTGGATCCTAAAGCAAGGGTTAACACTTAGTGTACAAATCAGCATGCCAATAAAATAAATAAATAAATCAAATATACTGCATCTATGGCTGCTTTATTTACAAGGAGTGTACTTTCAGATATTCAAATACTCAAACCTCTTTTGAGGTATTCATTAAGCATTTGTGTTTAATATGGCTAATATGAATGAATGTCAACTCTATAATTTGACAGTAACAAGAAATGCTAAGAATCATATTTATAGTTATATTTTGTGATCACTTTGATATGTTGTGACTATTTTTCACCTGTCATTATTAAACATGTATAAACATATGTATATTTACTGTAAGATTGATAGTATGAATACCTTAAATTGTGAGTTTCTGAATATCTGAAAGTACAGTCTTTAGATGAGTCAAGATGAAGATTTCAAGCTGAAATAAGCAAGTACCTTTAAATCCTGATATTGTAGACAGTTACTAGACAATCGTCAGTATTGAAATAAAATAACTTGAATTTTAAACTATGTATCACTGCTAATTTCTTAAGTAACTCAGACAGGTTGTTCTATGCTTTCATGAAGAACACCATAAGATTCATGCTTATCTTTACATGATTACTATATCATGACACACAAAAGAGAAAAGTAATAGGAAATATACCTTTAACGTTCCTTAGTACTTCTGGACTCTGCTGAGCTAAACGACCTAGACTGTGTAGCTGGCTACAACGATGGGCAATACCCCAGCTTCTTTGCCATCTAAAGAAAAATTACTTGAGAATATATCACTCAGTCTTTTAAAAGGATTTTTTTTAAAAAATGTAAGACAGTGCCCAAAGTGTGCTAAGATCTTTACAATAAAACAGTAATTCATAGCAACAAAAATCACAGTCACTGGAGAGGAATAAATAGCAAATAACCCAACTGGGAATGTGTATAAAGTGATCTGAGTCATACACTACTCAAATTTTATATATAAACAAATAATTAAGGTAATTAAAATGGAAAATGTAGAATTTCTTTTGCAGTGAGTGCCATATTGAAGATGGTGCAGGTGAAATGGGGAAAAACAAACTGAAAAAAGCTAAAAACTATAACCTGGATATGCAAAAAGCAGCTATTTGTTTCTCTGGATACTTTCTTTGTATTTTTTCTATGCACAGAAGGGAGTTCAGTACAAAAGTTTTATTCATAAAACCTTACTGATTTCTTAGAAGAGGACAAAAGGTTAGGACTGTAAAGTCTATTGCAGCCTCAGCCCTGTTCCTAAAAAGACTTACACATGTACTTTATGCAGTGAGTATATAGGCGCCAACTTCATGCGTGCTCCAGGGCTAGAGTACCCCTGGAAAAAAGTTAGTGGGTGCTTAGCACTCTCCGGCAGCCAGTGCCCGCCTTCCTCCCCAGCGCCTCCAGTCCACTGGTGGCTCTGCCAATAAGTGCCTCTCGCCCGATGCGATCAGCTGTTTCATGGCATGCAGGAGGCGCTTGAGGGGAGAGGGGAGGAGCAGGGACGAGGTGCACTCAGAGGAGGGGGCGGAACTGGGTGGGATGAGGCAGGGTCGGAGCAGGGGATTGAGCGCCCCTGGAGGAAGCCAGCGCCTATGAGTATGTCCATTGATTTCAATTGGGTTACTCACACAGCATAAAGTTAAGTAGGTGTACTTACAAGTAACTAGCCCTTAATTACTAAGTTATACAGGTGCTTTACAGCCAAGCAAGGGGGAAAGATTCCTTTTCCCCTTGAATCCTGGAGAGTTTAGCCAAGTATTTAGATCATATACTGAATGGGTTGATTTGGCTTGCTATTAGGGGAACTATTGTACTGGAATTGAAAGTTTTATGTGCATGTACTATAAGTAAGGAGGAAAAACGTCTCTAAAAAATTTCCTGCATCATATCGTGCAGAAAGTAGTGTCTTTGCTTTTTTTGAATGTCCAGTCAGAGTAAGTTATCCATTCATAAGAACGGCCATACTGGGTCAGACCATAGGTCCATCTAGCCCAGTATCCTGTCTTCCGACAGTGACCAATGCCAGGTGTCCCAGAGAGAATGAACAGAACAGGTAATCATCAAAGGATCCATCCCCAGTCGCCCATTCCCAGCTTCTGGCAAACAGAGGCTAGGGACACCAACCCTGACCATCCTGGCTAATAGCCATTGATGGACTTATCTGCCATTAATTTTTCTAATTCTTTTTTGAAATCTGTTATAGTCTTGGCCTTCACAACATCCTCTGGCAAGGAGTTCCACAGGTTGACTGTGCATTGTGTGAAAAAAATACTTCCTTTTGTTTGTTTAAAGCCTGCTGCCTATTAATTTCATTTAGTGGCCCCTAGTTTGTGTGTTATAAGAAGGAGTAAATAACACTTCCTTATTCACTTTCTCCACACCAGTCATGATTTTTATAGACCTCTATCATATTCCCCCTTAGTTGTCTCTTTTCCAAGCTGAAAAGTCCCATTCTTATTACTCTCTCCTCATACGGCAGCCGTTCCATACCCCTAATCATTTTTGTTGCCCTTTTCATAGCTGGATTCATACAGATGTTTATGATTTACAATATTTAATTGAGACATTAGGATAACTTTTGCTGCTATCAAAATGTGCCTATATTAAAACCACAAAAATACATGAACTTTAATTCACCTTCTGTTCAGGTATTACAGCATGTGTATATTAAAAAAAAAAAATCATTCACCATTTTGAGATCCCCTCAACACTGACACAGAACAGGCAAGTTAAGGATAATGTTTCAGATAGTGATTAAACTCTGAGGTTTCTTGGTCACTATACCCTCAACATTATGTTAACAGAGTTTACAATTATGGGCCAGATCTTCAGCTTGCCTAGGTCCCTTTTCAGTGTATGTAAAACTGCCTCAAACATAAAACTGACTGTTACCACAAAATAGGAGAATCCTCAGTTAGCATAAAGCCAGCGTAGCAATTCAGCATCAGGGGCGCAGAGGGATGGTACCAGGCAAGGGCCCTTATGGGACAACTACAGCAAGGCATAACTCAGATCAGCCTAAGAGCTACTCCATGTTACACTTTCAGGCTTCTTTGACCCTCAATAGCTCCAGGATTGGGGACTCAAAAAAGGTGGCTTAGAGTCTGCACCCTCTGCTAAAATGTCCCAAGCATAAGCTTGAAATGGCTGAGGATCAAGCCCTTTATTTACTTTTAAAACCTCCAACCATGTTAGTATTGACCTGTAAGAGGTAGAAGTAGCAGTTTCCCATTAAGATATAATTACTTCTCAGTTCAAAAAAATTTCTGAACAGGAAGCTGCATTTTTTTGTAAATTTTTTCATTATAATGTGAACTTTCCATAAAATCTAACAATATAGCATTACAGTATTTTGATAACTGACTATGAAAGAAAAAATTAAAAACCACAAACAAGCAAATTTCATTCTATGTTCAGAAAGATTCTATCAACTTGTTTTGATTTGGTTTTACTATGCAGTGAGGACTTCATAGAAGAGCTAGTCTTAGGAAATAACCTTGGATCGAGCGATCATGAGCTAATTAAGTTTAAATTAAATGGAAGGATAATCAAAATCAGCTCGTCAACTATGACCTTTTATTTCAAAAGTGCAGACTTTGGCAAATTAAGGGAATTAGTTAAAGAAGTCAACTGAAAAGCTCAAGGACTTAAATGTGGAGGAGGCTTGGAATTTCTTCAAAATCAACTTCTAGCAGGGCATTTTGAGTCATGAGTTGACTCAGCACCCCGTCACTCAAATCCTCACCAGTATACATTAATTGGGACTGGACTGAAAGACAAGTAGTTGGCACAGTGTGCCAATTAACTGAGTAAATATATAGCTCAAGGCTAATTGGGTAGAAGAAACCCCTGCAGCTGGGACTATATAAGTAGACAGGAAGGAAGTGCTAGGGAGGAGAGTAGGAAGGAAGGCAGTAATAGACAGGACGGGCTGCTGCTAATACTCCACCCTTTCCCCAGAAGCAAGTGAGGAAGCTGGCTACTGAGTGTAAGCAGTATGTAAATAACGCTCCAGGCTGTGGCCTTCTGAAGGAATATAAAGCACAGTGGTGTTTAAGACAACTTGGAGTTGTTGTGGTTAGTCACTGAGGCTGGAAATGACTCTCAGGGGACCACCCTATGACACAACTATACAAAAGTTATCTGAAATTTGCATCCCAAGCAAAGGAAAAAAGCTTGTAGGGAAAGGCTCCACACCAGCTGGATGAATAGCCACCTCAAAAAGATTATTAAAAGTAAGCTGAGAGTTTGTAAGGAATGGAAAAAAGGGTTGATCAATAAAGAAAGCTACATCTGGAGGTTATAAAAATGTAAGAATAGTTAGAACTATAAAAAATCAAGATGCATTAACTCTTGCAAAGGAAATTAAAATTTTTTTAGTTTACATAAAAATAGAATAAGGAAGGGTGGAATTGGGCTGCTATGCAGTGAGGATGGGAAGGAAATTAAAGATAATCTAGATATGACTCAGAAACTAAATGAATTCATTGCCGGGTTTCAATAAGGATGATCATATGGAACATGTGCATGAAGGCAGTATAGTTGATGAAAGAGCCTGTGTAGAAATGGAAATTACTACATCTGAGATGGAAGAAAAACAGATCTTAACGTGCTTGGATCAGGGGTCTGGATAATTTCAATTCCAAAATATGAAAGAACTGGAACATGAGACTGTTAGTCCAGTAGCAAGGATTTTTAATTAAGTCAGGGTAATCCCATATGACTGGAGAATAGCTAATGTCAGACCTATATTTAAGAAAGGTAAAAGAAGTTATCCAGGCAGTCAGAACAACAGGTCAGTAACTAGTATGCAAGGCTTTAGAACAAATTGTGAAGGAAAGAGCAAGTTCATGGGAGATAAAATGCTAAAAGGACATAATGCAACATGGATTTACCAAAAGTAGATCACATCAGACTAACGTGATCTTCTTTCAGAAAAATCTCTTATTTTAGATGAGAGAAATGGAGTAGATCTTATATACCTGGACTTCAGTAAAGCATTTAATATGGTACCAAATGAGAAATTATTAGTTAAATTAGGGAAGATGGGGATCAGTACAAGATCTGTAAGATGGATAAGGAACTGGCTAAATGGGGAGAAGGCCACGGGTTGTGCTGAAAGGTGAACTATTGGACTGGAGGGAGGTTACTAGTGGAGTTCCTCAAGGATTGGTCTTGGAAACAATCTTTTTCAATATTTTTATTAATGACGGTGGCACAAAAAGTATGTGTGAGCTAATGAAATCTGCTGAGGATACTAAGTTGGGAGGCATCGTCAATACAGAGGAAGACTGGAACATTTTACAGGAAGATCTGGATTACCTTGAGGACTGGAGTGACAGAAATGGGATGAAATTCAGTAAGACAAAGCTAATAAGAATTTTTGCTACAAGCTAGCAGCTCGTCAGTTGGAAGCAACAGAGGAGAAGAGAGACCTGGATCTGTGGGTTGGATCACAGGATGACTGTGAGCCACCAGTACGATGCGGCTGTGAAAAAGGTAAATGAGATCCAAGAATGCATCAGGCAAGGCATTTCCAGTAGAGACAGACATATTAATGTCATGTACAAGGCACTGATAAGACCTCATATGGAATATTGCGTACAATTCTGGTCACCCACGCTCAAGAAAGATGAATTCAAACCAGAAAAGGTGCAGAGAAGAGTTAATAGGGTGATCAGGGGAATAGAGGGCCTAATCTTATGAGAGGAGACTGGAAGAGCTTGACTTGTTAACTTTAGCAAAAAGAAGGCTGCTCTCTAAAAATGTATTAGGGCAGTAAATTACCAGGGAGGGTGAAGAGCTATTTAAGATAAAGAGCAGTGTTGGCACAAGAACAAATGGATATAAACTGACCACAAACAAATTCAGGCTGGAAATTAGAAGGAAGTTCCTAACCATGAGATGGGCGAGGTTGTGGAAAAGCCTCCTATTGGGAGTTGTGGAGGCAAACAACTTAGTTAGTTTCAAGAGGGAGCTGTACAAATGTATGAGTGAGATTGTATGATGGGGTTGCTTGTGACAGTAAGGGGCAGCTCAGTCCAGTTTGTCTGATGTTCCTAAAAGCTCATGCTTCAGGTTTTTAGCCAGCCACCTGCAGGGGTCAGGAAGGGATATTTCCCCAACCCCCTACTTCCCCCCAGTGGATTCTGGGTTTTCTTAATATCACTCCTGTGAAGCATCAAGGACAGCCATGGCTGGAGAGGGCCATTTGACATGGAGGATCAGGACTCTGAGGTGGCACCAAGCATTCTCTCTCTCAAATGCCTGGCTGGCCTGGCTGCCTCAAATGCTCCTATGCTTAGCGTCTAACTGATCGCCATATGTGGGGTTGGGAAGGACCTTGGGGGTTTTTCACCTTCCCCTGCAATGTGTGGGTGTGAGTCACTTGCAAGGATTATCTGTATTCATTTCATAAGTATTTCTCATTCATTTCACTGTCATAGGTGCACCTTGGTCCCTCCTATTTTCTGCCTGTGGCACATAATAGTCTAGTCTTCTGTGGGCTGAAATACTTGAGTTTAATTTCAGTTGTTGGGTTACTGTGTGGCTGTTGGCGGCTTGTGATAGATGGTCAGACTAGATGATCTGGTGGGCCCTTCTAGCTTTAAACTCTGTTACTGCACTAAACAAACCTAAAAGCTATTTAACTCAAAACTTTCACAATATACCCTGAAGAGATGCATTTTTGTTCTCAAATATTAACGACTTGTATTTTCTAAGAAATATTTTGGAGTAAAGAAACCCAAGTACAGAACCCCGCCTGGTTTTTAAAGCTATTACAATATTCCCTCCGTGGACTCTTGTTTCTGATATTTTTGACAACAATACCTTTACTAAGTATTCACAAGTTGTCAATAAGTACCATATGTAGCATCAGAAGAAAAGCCAAGTTGTTTAAGCTAAGTTAGTTATATAAGAAAGCTCAAGCCCCGATTCAGGAAACCAATTTTATCCAGCAAAGTACATAAACACATGATTAGGTCCTATTGACTACAACAGAACCGAACCACATGCTTAAGTGTTTTCCTGAATTGGTGACCATTCTACTAGGTAGTACAATCTCCTGACTTTTAAATGCAAATTTTTAGTCCCATACAAGTCTGATGAAAATATTATCTTATTCAGTGGAGTTCTGCCTTTATGATTACATATAAAATAGACATTTTGCTGGAATACACTTTTTTAAAGCTTAACTGCATTACTTTGTTTTTAGACTGTGGCCTTACAAAATTGTAAATGATGCTAGTTTTGACACTTTTAAGTAAGATCTTCTGTACTTCATTACCTGATATCAGAGAGCTGTAGCTGATGAGTGAGTTCATCTTTTAAACGGTTTAATTCTTCCCTAAGTGGTAAGCTGTTTCTCAGCTTCTTTACTGCACTTTTTTCACTATTATCTAACCAGGAGCTGTAAAAAAAAAAAAAAAAAAAAGGCTATTCAAAACCATATTTCTCAGGCACATTGTACTGCTATGTAAAAACATTAATGTCTACTTTAAGAATTATGTCAAGTTACCAGATCAGGTAATGTTTTAAAAGAATGGTTTTTTGAAAAAAGAGTAAATCTATTTTTAGGGTAACATTTCTATTATAGTATAACCAACAGATAACTGTAGATCAGTCACTGAATCATGTTCCCACGGGTCTAGAACACTTCAAAAGCAGCATCTTAAGAGATTTAATGGATAAAACATTTTGAAATGATCTAGATTATCATCATCAACATGTTCCCATTATGCCTCTGGTGTTTAGGGCAGTGACGAAGCTCCTCCACTCCTGTCTGTTTTCTGGCAAGTCTTTCAATGGCTCCCTAGCTGTGTCCCAGTTTTTTTCAACTCAGCTTCCACAGCTCTTCTCCATGTTTTTGCGTGGCCTCATTTTCACTTGCCTTCAGGTGTCCATTTTAATGCTATTTTGGTAATTGAATCAGTTTCCATTTGAAGCACATGGCCAATCCACCTCCAGTCCTCCTCCTAATGATGGTGCTCATATCTTCTTGGCTGCACTGTGTGAATAGGTCTTGGTTTGAGATTGTACGGAAGCGACTCATAGGAGGGTCATGAAAGGTCAAGTGCCCTCCCAGCAGCAAGTCTGGGCGGGGCGAAGGGGCGGGGCCAGAGCCGGAAGTGAAGGGGCAGGGCCAGAGTCTCTTTTAGCCACATTTCCTGGGATGCTACCAGCGCAGTGTCTCGGCTGACGGGGAAAGCACCTGGCTGTGGCAGCAGTAGGCTGCCCCCCACCATAGCTCAGCTTCTGGCATGCTCAGAGTCGGCTCCTGTCCCAGAAGGACAGTGGCTGCTGCCACTCCCTCCCGTGGCTCCACTTCTGGGGACAGGAGCTGACTGAGCATGCTGGGTAGGGAGGGGGCACCGATTTGCTCAGCTGCTATCCTGGAAGCTAAGCCTGGGCAGGAGGCAGCCTGCTGCTGCCACAGCCAGGCATTCTCCCAGGCAGCAGCCAAGAGTGGCTCTGCCCTGCTCCCTGCCTGGCTCTACCTGCCAGGAAGAGCAGCCAAATGTGCCGGAGGAGGAGCCAGCACAGCGAGAACACAGAAATCCCCTCACAGGTAATGTGGGATAGGGAGAGCATGGGGGCCCTGGGCTAGGGTGGAGACACATGGGGAGGTCACGTATCCTCCCCTTTAGCTGGTGCTCCCGCTCCCCCAATAGTGGGGGGGCACCAGTCGTCATAAGGATTTTTCTGAGGCAGGTTGTATGGAATGAAGACAGTTTGGACATGTCATGCTTTCTTATTCCCCAGCATTCTGCACTATAAAGTAGTGTTGAAAGTACACAGCTCAGATAAATCTTGAGTTTGGTTTTGGTGTTGTATATTGATGATTTCCAGAGACTGTATTTGAACTCCTAAAGGTGTTCCTGGCTTTACTGATTCTGTTCTGGATGTCCTGGCTTGTTCCACTGTTCTGGCTGATGGTACTGCCCAAGCATGTAAATGTCCCTACATTGATGAGAGCATGATCCTCTATCCGTACTGGTGATGGTGAGCCAATATTAAAGGTCATGATACGTCTTACTGCGGTTGATTTTCAATTTGCTGAATGAATGTGTTGAGTCGAGTTGTTTTTTCTTGTATACAGTGTTGGGTATGTGATAGGAGAGAGATCATCTGCGAAGTCCAGGCCTTCAAGGGATGTGAAGGGTGTTAATGCCTTGATAGGTCTTCTCTTGTACGCCGCATTACCCAGTCGATGGCAATATTGATGAGGACTGCAGACATGATGCACCCCTGATGTACTCCTATTCTGACTTCAAAACTGAGCTCATGCAACTGAGCACATGTAAACATGATTTACATGTGATCAACACTACATGTAAAGTTGGAAAATTAGCTTTTGATGATGTTGATTATACAGAGAGGGATTCCATATGCCCGCAGAATGCGCCATAGGCTGGTCCTGTGAATTCTATCAAAAGCCTTCTCAAAGTCTATGAAGTTTATCTAGAGTTGCCATAGCCATTCTAAGCATTGTTCTATTATGTTTCGTAGAGTGAAGATCTGGTCTGCGCATCCAGGTCCTTTTCGAAAACAGGCTTGCTCTTTTCTAAGAACGCTATCAACTGCCTCTAATATACACTGGACTGTGATCTTACACAATACCTTTGCTTGGCACAGATAAGTGTGATACCACACCAGTTATTACAATCACTGAGTTCCTTTCTTTGGTATCTTCACTATAACCCCATTGGTCCACTCATTTGGCACTTTTTCCCTTTCCCAGACAAATGTAAATAGAGGGGCCAGTATAGATGCTGATAACTCAGGTTTTACCTTGAACAATTCTGTAAGTTATCCTTGCCAGGAGCTTTCCCATTTTTTAAGGATTTGATGACTTAAATGATCTCTTTCGGAGCTGGGGTGTCTGTGTTGATATCAAGATCTTCTTCTCCCTCCTGAATGTTTGCTTCCTCTATAGGTGGCTCCCTGTTCAGCAATTCTTTGAAATGCTCTGTCAGACCATTTCTTGTTCTTTTTCTGATGTCAGTAAGTGGCCTTGTTTGTCCCTGATGAGAATGTTTGTTGGTGTCTCCTGTTTGCCACTGATAAGCCATGTCATTTGATAGACTATTCCTTGTTCAACATGAGCAGTTGCATCCTCTGCTTGTGTTGCCAGATTATCAATATAATGTCGTTTGTCCGCTCTCACAAGGCGTTTAACCTCCTGGTGTGCCTTGCTCTACTACTTGTGGTATTTGTCCTTTAGCTTCTGGGATTGTGTGTCTAAAACTTTTTTCTTCAGGGCTTGTCTGGTTTATATGGCGTTCCACGTGCTGGGTGTAATCCACTCCTTTCTTCTTTTCTGCCGGTAGCCTAGACAGGCTTCACTGCTTTGTTTATAGATTGTCCCACTTTTTGTTGATCTCCTCATTTGCATTCCCCCCCCTTCATCAAGGGCTGCAAGTTCCTGAAACCTGTTCTTTAACTGCAGAACGAAAGCTTTCTGTATTTCAGGGGATTTTAGCTTGTCAATATCATAACGTCTATGTCCCTTGTTTGGTGGAGGCTGTCAAAAGGTGGTGGTCTGCTCCCCTTCTCACTTTCACATCTGTCAGCAAGTGTCGTCATTTGCCATTGATCATCGTATGGTCAATCTGGTTCTTATTTCTGCCATTTGGAGAACCTCATGTCAGCTTGTGAATTTCACAATGTTGAAATAGGGTTCCGCTGATGCCTAGATCGTTCAATATTGCAGAAATCAACAAGCCTCTCCATTTTCATTCATGGTGCCACACTCATGTCTTCCCATTGCTCTGTCGTTGTTTGTGTTGTCCTTACTCACCGTGGCATTGAGGTCTCCCGTGATAATAGTTAGGTTGTAGTGTGGTACTCTCTCTAACTACGCCTATAGTGCAAGGTAGAATTTGTCCTTTGCTTCTTCATCACTGTCATTTGTTGGAGCATAGCACTGGATCGGGGTGATTACTGTGTTTCCCTTTCAGTCTGGCTCTCATAAGACTGCTGCTGATTGACTTCCACTCAAGCAGGGACCGCTCCACTCCCTTCTCCAAAAAGATGGAAACAACCTCAGAATGTTGTCCATCAATACAGCAAAGTTTCTCCCAAGGCTGCTGTTAATCTTTTGTCTGGCCCCTCCCCTACAGACCAGTCCGGCATGGTTGAACCTGCCAGGAGCAAAAGTCCTTGCTGAGCCAGACTCTGGGGATTGTTACAGCATGCGAGCTGTCTCGCCATGACAGGGCACGGACACCAGAGGGCAGTTAGCCGATACAGAAATACTAAATTTGACCACTCTTGTGGCAATGAAATGTGTTCGAGCTCTTTCCCAAGTCTTTGTACCAACTATGGCATGACAAAACAATAGTCTGACACTTTAGTGCCACAGAAGCTCCCTCTGTGTATGTTATCACAGCTCTCAATGCACCCAGAGAATGCATAAATTTATTGAGTTACTTTAAAACCACAGCTATACCTCACTGGCAAAGTCAGCTACAAGTTGAAAGTCTTTTGAGCCCTATTGGTACCGAATGAGTTTAAGCACTATGGGAGTATTATCATGCCTCATTTAACCACAGAAGTCAGCTTCAGGAACCACATACTGAGAACATGCTCATAGCACTACAGCAATATTGATACTGTATATCTAGCTGACTGCTCTGAAAGGATGGAAGTAGAATGATGAGATCTATCCCATCAGACCTACACCACCATAGAAAATGCCAATTCAGTCTTGCTGTGAAGTAGGACCAGCCTTAGGGAAAATAGCGCCCTGGGTGAACTTGTATTTTGGTGTCCCTGGCCCCCACTGCCTCCCTGGGCTCTCTACAACGGGTCAGCAGCCTAAGGGGAGGTACAGCGACAGGAAGGCACCAGAGAGCTATGGTGGCAGGGAAGCATGGTGACCAGAGAGCCCCGGAAAGGAGAGAGGGAACCAGAGGAGTACAGATAGTTTGCTTGTGTGGGAAGGCAGGGGAGGGGTAGTGACACGTAGTGAGGGGTAGGGGGCTCCAAAAGGGCAGATCTCTCCCCACACCCCAATACTAAGCATCCCCAATATTAAACTGCCCCTTCCCAGTCCCACAGAAGGGGGGCTATTGGGGGGCAGGGAAGATTAAAATGCACTCCAGTGCACTGGAGTAGCTAGGATGGGTGGTGATGGAGGAAGGGTCGCTCCCGAAATATCTCCAACCCCCTGCAGTGACAACTTCCTTTGGGATGAGCAAGAGAAAGGTGGAGCCCCTGAGAGCTGGGGAACTGGGTGGTCAGTGTGTGGAATGGGGGAGGGGAGAACCTCAAAGACCTGGGGGATACCCTGAGAACTGGGGAGAATGGGAGGGCCCTGAGAACTGGGAGGCTGGCACCTGGGGGGCAGAGACAGGGGCTTCCTGGGAGCTGGGGGTATAGGGAGGGTCCCCCTGGAACCTGGGGGGTGCGGGGGGGGGAAGAGCTGGAAGCCCTGGGAGGCCCTCTGAGAGCTGGGACATGGGGTCAGGAAACCCCCTCCCCCTACTCTCTCTTGCAGTTTCAGAGAGAGAGAGAGAGAGAGAGAGAAATTTCAGAGAAGAGGCCAGAAATTTCTAGTTCCCACTGGTTGGCTGAGATGCCACACTCATTTTCTATTGGGAAGCACTGCTTTCATTCAGGCCACCCATGGAAGGAGGAATGGCCCAGGCTGGGACAGTCCCAGAGGGTGAGGGGAAGAGCTCATTGGCTTGCAGAGTGCAGAGGTGGGACTGGGAGGTGGGCTGGGAAACCAGGTGTGGTGGCAAGCAGGGGGCATCTGCTCCGGAGCAAGGAGGTGGGCTCTCCTGTCATGCCAGGCTGCAGCCTGCAGGCAGCAAGGGGGAGCCTGACACCCTTGCTTCTTCACCAATGGTACCCTCCTGACTACAGCACCTTGGGTGGTTGCCCAGGTTGCCAACCCCTAACGCCTGCCCTGATGTGAAGGATGAGGTATCAATTCTGACTCATTTGAGGCCAAATTCTCTCCAGACTTATCAGAAGCACTGGAATTTATAAGGAGGAACTCCCACTGGGACCTAATGGCTCACACTGACATCTCTGATCATCTCACAGCCTAGTCAATCGTGATCCTCACTGAAGCAGGACACAGCAATCATGCCTACTTGTGAGGGATACAGTATGACCACATCCACCTTTTTTAAAGCTGCAGGGGGCCCTTCTCAATGTGAAAGAGAAAGGGAAGCAGACAGAAAACACACCTGATCCAGAAAATGTGCTGAGAAGTATGTCACTGGTGCTTCAAAGATAAAGCGCAGCAGTGATACACACTCTTTTCACACTCGGAGGAGCAAGACCTTAAGGGCACTGAAGATGCCCTTGCATTAAGGTCAGTCTATCAAGCTCAGTGATGTTCCAATGGGAATGAGACATAAGTGACTGAAGCTGCTGAATGCCTCTGATGTACCTATAAGTGAGAACTTGAGCTCCACAAAAGCTGTGCACCAACTGCCACACAAGTTGCTCTGAAACCTCTGGTATTATTAGAGATGCACTCTATTACCTCTAGCTGTTCTGAGGGGAGTGAAAGGTAGAGACCTGAGGATTGGCGTGGTTTACACGAGCAGCTCTAAAACAACTCTGTCAGATGTCAGTGCCTCTGAAGACTAACACAAAAAGTTGTGGTGTGTTTTGTGTTTAAATTTAAGGAAACTGACAGCAGAGCCAAAGGATATAATAGAGCACGGGGAGAGATATGAGGGATGAAATACTTTGATACCTCACATGAGATAGGATGAACACTGATGAGTAGAAGTCACAGTTCTAGGGTTCCTTCGTCACTGATAACCCATCAGAAATGAATTGACTTCTGGAGCATACAGGTATGGCTGTAGGGCAGGGGAGGGAAACAGGGCAATCTAAATATCTAAGCAAGGACAATGTGAAGTACGTACAACAGCACTTAATTTTAAAACCATGGGTGCTTTTACCAGGCCCACTGAACCAAAAGAGAGGGATTTATTGAGTGCAAAATCTCAGGTCTTAGCAGTTGTGTGCAGTGCACTAAATACAATTAAGGCCACATCTACAAAATTAAAAATAGCCCATTACTTTTGTGCTGCACAAATGTGAACAGCAAAATGCAATTACACTAGTAATACTAGAGCATTATTTTACAATCCTAAAGTAACAAGAGAAAAATTATTCCACTATCACATTCCATATTTTAGTGACATTTCAGATATGAACGTTTTCAGATACCACACCTTTTATGAACTTGTTTTCTGAGCTGAATCCATACCATTAGCCAATATTTTGCCCTGATTGTGATGTGTGTGTCAAAATCATAGCATTAGTGTTCATGGTAATTGTGAATTTGAATAAAGTCCACATTGAGGCCACCCTGCAGTCGCAGCTCCTGTCCCCACTATGAGCATCGTGACCGGACACATTGTCACAGCACCACTCAGGTTTGGCCCATCCATCCCTCCACAGACGGAGACAGAAGAGCAGCCATGCCAAACCTGAGGGGCACTATGACCACTCAGAGCCCCTGCAGGCTACCTGTCTTTGCATGCCATTCAGCCCTCTGGCTGAGAAGCTGCTAGTCCAAATCCCTTTCAGTTTAACAAAACGTTCAAGCGTAATCCAAACTACCAAAAAAATCAATCTATCCTCTGGGCCCCTGCGCTTAACCCTTTCCTTGGGTTTCACTGCTTTTCCTCAGTTCTGATATCAAGCACTGTCTCATTGAGTCTAAATCTTCCTGAGGCCTCTAGCCTCCACTATTATCTGGCACTTTGGTTCTTGGCAGGAACAGCCACAGGAAGCAGGTGGGTCTTCTCCCCAACGCTGAACTCTCTCAGCCTATTTATAGGGCCCAGGTGTCTGCTGAGTTATCCCCAGATTTTTTTTGTCCCCTCTCTCTGGCTGATAATGATCTAATTTCCACCCATGTGGAGTGAATATGCCCAACTGGCCTTTAACCCTTTCTTGTCAGTGATGGGGATTTCAGTTGATTACAGGAAGGTATTTTGACTGATCTGTAATTTCGATGTAACTTCAAGCAGCAGATGGACTTCTCAGGGCTTGCCCACATGTGTGTGTGACTCTACAGTACACTAGCTTGCCATGCAGTAACTGGCCATGTGGACCCTGCTAATGCACAACAAAAGATCTGTAGTTCTGTGCAGTTCATCAAAGCACACACTGGAATTATTCATGCACAGTAGCAGTCCGCATAGTCAGTCAGTGAGTGGCCAGCTAACGTGCTGTAGATTCCTACATGGCAAGCCAGAGTGTGAAGTCTCAGTGTAGACATGACCTAAGTCAACAGTGTATATTGTTTTCTAGTCAGAATATAGATCGATAGGAAATGTTATCTTTACTACACACACACAAAAACCCCCTCAAAACAAAACAGTAAATGATGCTTGTAATATTGGTCAGAAACCTGGTAGGTAGAGCTTTTGCTATAACTGGAAAAATATTTGAGACACTCAGAGAAAGATTAAAATCAATTATTTCTATGAGATACTTAATGATCTCCTTTACTCTATTTACCCTTTTCAACCATTTCAGCTATCCAAATGCCCACTATACACAACTGATTGATTGCAGTTTCTTGTTTTTACAAGAGCAATATTATACTCCACCGCTAAGAGAAAGTACTAAACTCAAGCATGAATATAAAACAGATACAAGAAAAAAGTCCATCTTCAAATGACAATTTATACAAATCATGAAGTAATCATAACAGGCTCATGATATAGAAGAAAAGGATGTACAATTACACACAGACAGAAAACAAAACTCATGTACAACTTAGATCTGTTATGTGTTTTACAGTAGTACAATGACCTTATGTGCTAGGTATCATGCTCTCTGCCTTGAAGAACTTACACTCCAATTAGTCTGGCACTTCACATAAACACCACACATTTTGCACTATATTATATTCAAGGGAATAAAAATTAAATTGTATAATGCTGTTTATTTTAATTCAGTCATTTTTAAAAAGTGTCTCATGATCAGCATTTATTTCTTCAGAAATCTGTAGTAAGCTTATTCAAGAGTTATAAACAATTAAGAGTACTAAGCAATTTTCAGCAGTTGATTTCTAAATCACACTATAATGCATTTTGTGTAAGTTAACTGCATATATTACATTGCCAAAACTTTGGATATTTAAGATGGTGCCCGAAGGCTGAAACAGATGTTAGGCACAGCAAAAACCACACAATACAGATATAAGCATTTTTATAGGGCTCTATAACATGGTACCCAATTGATGTCTTGACTTGCATAGATTTAAATGTATTATTTTGTGTTCTGAAAGCTCTAAGTATATTACAAGTGATGTAAAATACTGAGTTTTAACACCTGAAATCTGTTGACTCCCCTGATGAATCTACAGTGGTATTCCACAGCAAACCAATGAAAAACTAGGATTAAACATCCACATTTGAAACAATCATTGACTATGAGCCATGACATTCTTTGCCCATCTTTCACCAGAGTCGATGATTAACTGCAGTTGCTCATCTGAGCACCCTTCAATTACATCACTATAGGGTAAGGAACAATATTTGGGGTGATAAACATTTTGCAGTTTGTCAAAAATTCTTATCCTATTTTACCACTATTAAAAGCAGACTAATGTATATTACAAAACAGTAGTTTAGTTAAATAAAAACCTTTACCTACATTAGAGTAATTTCCACCCTCTGGGCTTGTTCTAGTTCTTCCTCAGGATCCTTGAATCCAGTAAATGAATAATAAGTCTTGTCCCATTTGATAGGCCTATAAAACGTCCCTTTTACTTCTTTGTGAGGTTGAGAGTTCACGCTTTGGACATGCTCAGTAGATAAGCTGCAGGAGTTGAGAATGTCTAATACTGTGCTTAGTAAGTCCCTGGTGTGCAAAGTAAAACTGACGGCTCGAAAACCTATAAAAAACGCAACCCTCAAAACAATTAATATTACATTCAGCTGAATACCTGAACTTTTAGATGCATTCACATTGTTTCATTCTTGTCTTAAAGTTGAAACACACCATACATGTATTATATGATAAGTTTCACAGTGAAATTATAACATTTATTTAACAAGTACTATAGACTTCAAACTATTAGCATGGCAGAAGGCATCAGAATCTAGTTTAATATTTACAATTGTACAAGTCCAGAGCTATAACTATTAGGATATTTCAACTATTTGGCTCAGTGGGTAAGTCTGAAGCTTATCTGCAATTGTGACAAATAGAAAATAAATATGAAGGAGGCGCAAACATTTCTATTGCTTTAACTCCAACAGTTTTGTTCGAGAGCCCTTTATGTAAGATTTATTAACAAAAAAATACTACTTTGGATTAAATATACTGTAGACAGGCAAGGATCTAAGACTACTTCACAAACAATAAGCCTCAACACCTATGAAATTCAAGAGACAAGCATTACACTTGTTATACACAGAGGTGTAAACTAAGGCACAGAGATGTTAACTGGCTCGCACAGTGCCACAGCAAGTCACTGGCAAAAGCAGGAACAGAACCACATAGATCCAGTCCCTCCTGTTCTAACTACTAAACAACCCCCCCTTTATTCTTATATCTAAGTGGCTCAAATATACCACTATTTTTCTCTGCAGGCTAGTATGATTTTCTTCTTCTAGCAGAATGATCACTCAAAATTCATTTATGTGAGAATTTTCTGACCACTAGAAAAACAGAACATGAATTAAAATACAGCCTAACATGTCATTAGACAGAATTGTAAAAAAAATCTGAGGAAAATTCAGAGACAAGCATACCAAACTTGCCAGTGAATCATCCTACGTTCTCTTAAGCGAATATTAACTGAAATTTACAAACTGCACTTTAAAATGTACCTCTGCTGCTCTTGGTCATTCAGCACTTCTATAACATACTGAGAGTCTACATGCTACAGCTAGACCAAATAATGAGAAAATAAAAGTAACACCCTAAACTATAACTATCTTCAAGTTATACACAGACAGTTGAATTAAAAGCATTGATAGCTGGCAAGTATGTCAGGGTATTATTTCAATTTCATTGTAAGATTATTGACTGGACTCCTACTTACATTTAAACCCATTATAACCACTCGCTCTTAAAAAAGATTTTCCATTAGAAGAATGTGTAATTACCTGGGATGGCCTTTAAGGGCCTGATACAATGCCAATTGACATCAGTGGGTAGTAGATAAGGCACTATAAAAAAGGGGTGAATAGTACAAAACTATGGAATGGATTTTCAGTATTTAATTTTGCAAGAGAAATTATCAGATTAAGAAAAAGCACCTGCAGCACTGAAGGATTCTTGGACATCAGAAGAGTTTTGCTCTCTCTCTCTCACGTAAAAAGTGAGTTGAGTTGGCTTAAAAGACTTAAATCCTGGTTTCTGGAGATTCTCCAAATAGCCATTTAACCTCTTAAGAGAGTTTTCATTGATTTCCTGTAGAAAACAAAATAAGAGCCACTGTAAATACTTAATTTTGTCTGCTTTCTCAACATGGCATATTTATTTAAAAGTAGGCTAACAGTGTTAGTTTAATAAGATACAACTAAATGTCAACGTATTAAACGTAGTTCACAATTCCATGAAAACACATCAATGTATTCCACATAGAAAGGTGACTGAGTAATTTCATTAAAAATTTATCTTCATTGCATGAATAGTTGACTGGATGGTAGATAAGAGTAAAGCAGAAGTTAAAGCATATATAATGTTCAAGATAGCTTCCAAAAACAGGTAAAAAATTAGGTTTGATTAAAAGTAAAAGGTCATTCTTTGTAAGGGCTGTCACAGGTTTAAAAAAAATAAAATGGAGTGTTGCATTAGTTCTATGTTTTGTATGGTTCAAGACTCCAGAGTGTCAGGGAAAGCAATGTATAGTGAAAGGCTGATTAGTGAGTTTGGGGATATACTTTGTCCAAATTATAAGAATTTGCTGGACATTATCTTGTTAAAGTTGTATTTTCCTGATCACCATGTTAGTTCTACAAATGGTAGATCAAACTTTGACAGTGTAAAATCTAAACTAATAAAATATTTCCTTTCTTCATATACCATATACATGAAAACACCTTTAGAAACAAAAATATATTTTTACCCTCTCTCTGGGATGCTGGCCAAAGAAATCTGGATGCACAGCAAAATAGAAAGGTCTGAGAGCATTGAAGACTTCAGCCCCTGACAAAGGTCTTGCCTGAAGAACCCACTGTAGCAATATTTTCTCCAGATACAACCTAACAAGAAATAAAAGCTTTATGTATTAAAGTAACCTCCAAATGGTGAAGTAATATAAACTACATAAAAGAAATGTTACCAGAATGGTGTGAACACTCATATGAAATACAATCACTTAAAAATAAGCCGTACTAGAAGGCTGGATTTTGTCTCATGGGATCAACAAAATTCTATTTAACCATAACAGGCCTATTGTGTTACAAAGATGGTTGATGCTAACAGTTCTGATTAGTGGCATTCAAAAAGTGGTATTTGGAGAAGGTAAGGGATGAATCTTACAAGTTCATATATGAAATTCTCCACAGAAATACCTCTTTTAAATACTGGTGATTGGAATAGTCAGAGGTACTGAGGGCTGCCATCTTGGAATTGGTGTTTCTCAAGTCAATGCCCATAACTTGAAAGTTCGAAAGTAGCTAAGAAGTTTAATATTTGTAAAGCACTTTGCTATAAAAACAAAGCATTAGTTCTGGGCTAAAAAAAATCCGAGTTACTTACCTCTTGTAACTGTTGTTCTTTGAGATGTGTTGTTCATGTCAGTTCCAATTAGGTGTGTGCGCACTGCGGGCATGGCAGCTGGAAGGTTTTTCTCCTAGTGGCCTCTGTTGGGTTGGCCAGGGCGGCCCCTGGGGTCACACCTTCGTGGCAATCAATATAGGGTCCTGCCGACCCGCGACTCCCTCAGTTCCTTCTTGCCGGCTGCTCTCACAGATGGATACGAGGATGGGAATTGGAATGGACATGAACACCACATCTCGAACAACAGTAATGAGAAGGTGAGTAACTGTTTTTTCTTCTTTGAGTGCTTGTTCATGTCAGTTCCAATTAGGCGATTACCAAGCCCAAGTTTTGGAGGTGGGGTCAGAGCTCAAAGGTTTGCTGACTGTAGCACTGCTCTACCAAAGGCTGCATCATCTCTGGCCTGTTGGGTAATAGCGTAATGCGAGGCAAAAATGTACACTGATAACAACATGCACCAGGAAATATGCGACTGAGAAAGCTTGTGCCCTCATGGAGTGTGCAGTGAGTGGAGGAGCAGGACATAGAGTTGGAAGATAAGAGTTCGCAACATCCAGGCACAAGGACCACTCATGGCCATGGAACAACCTGTTGAGATAGTCTGCCAACTTGTTCTGTACTCCAGGGAGGATCGAGTGAGCTATGCAAAAGTCCCACAGTCTAAGGGCTTCCTGGCACAGGGGAGAGGAGCATGTACCCCATCTGTTTATATAAAACATCACTGTTGTGTTGTCTGTCATGACCAATACACATTTCCCCTCCAGATGAACTCGGAAGGTCTGGCATGCTAGGCGGACTGCTTTCAACTCTCTGACGTTGATATGAAGGGAACTTCACCTGGGACCAGAGACCTTGTGTCCTGAGGTCTCCTAGGTGTGCCCCCCACCCCAATGCTGACACGTCCATCACCAGCAAGGAGGATGGGTGAGGTCTGGTGAAGGGGACCCCGGCACACCCTACCTGTGGGTCGAGCCACCATAGGAGGGAGTTGAGGACTGGATGAGGTAGAGTGACAATCTTGTCCAGACTGTCCTGAACCGGGTGATACACTGAGGCTAGCCACACCTGACAAGTCCGGAGTCTGAGTCTGGCGTGCTGTACTCCATAGGTACAAGCGGCCATGTGTCCCAGAAGCTTCAGGCAATTCCTTGCTGTGGTTGTAGGGAACTGTCTGAGGTTTTGAATGACGTCCCCAGGGACCAGAACCACGATTCCGGGAGGCACGCAATGTCCTGTGTGGAGTCTAGTACCACTCCTATAAACTCTATCTGCTAAATGGGAGAGACTTCTACACACTGAGAAGGCCCAGTTCGTCAAAAGTTGCTCTTATGAAGCCAAGTTGTGCCTCCACTTGCGTCCTGGAGTGGCCCTTGATTATCCAGTTGTTGAGGTATGGAAATACCTGTACCTATTGCTTGTGCAGGAACGCAGCCACAACTGTGATGCACTTGGTAAACACTTTCCACAGTACGCATCCGATGAAGTGAGCTGTAGCTCACGAAAGCTTATGCTCAAATAAATTGGTTAGTCTCTAAGGTGCCACAAGTCCTCCTTTTCTTTTTGCGAATACAGATTAACACGGCTGTTACTCTGAAACTTGAGGAGCTGCTGACAGGTCAAAAACGGGAGGACCGTGAACTAGTAGTGATTGTGGATCACCATGAAACTGAGGTACCTTCTGTGGGATGGCTTAATTGAAATGTGAAAGTAAGCATCCTTCAAGTTGAGGGTGGCATACCAGTCCCCTGGATCCAAGGAAGGGATAATGGAGGCCAAAGAGACCATGGGGAACTTCAGTTTCTTCATGAACTTGTTGAGATCTTGCAGGTCTAGGATGGGCCTGAGGCCGCCTTTGGCTTCCAGTATTGGGAAATACCAGGAATAGAAGCCCTAGCCCTTCAACTCGAGGAACCTCTTCATAGAATATCAGGGTTGGAAGGGACCTCACGAGGTCATCTAGTCCAACCTCCTGCTCAAAGCAGGACCAATCCCCAATTTTTGCCCCACATCCCTAAATGGCCCCCTCAAGGATTGAACTCACAACCCTGGGTTTAGCAGGCCAGGGAGCTATCCCTCCCCCTCTTCCACTGCCCCAAGTGGCAAGAGCGAGTGCACCTCCTGTATGAGGAGCTTCTCGTGAGAAGGGTCTCTGAAGAGGGACGGGGAAAAGGGGTGGAAGGGCAGAGAATTGGTGGGACTATCCCCTTTCTACCGTGTAGAGTACCCAGAGATCCAATATAATTCAGGCCCACACGGGGTAGAAAGGGGACTGTTGGCACGAGAAGGTAAGGTGATATGGATCCAGTGTCCAGACTGGTGGGTCGCGCCCAGGCGCATCTTCACAAGGTCTGCTTCTAGCCAGCAGACTGCTTCCCCTGACCAGAGCCCTGGCCTCTTTCTGTTTCTACCCCATCCATGAGAGAAGTCCTGCCTATTTTGAGGCTGGTATGAACAAGGCGGGAGTCTGCAGCTTAAAATGTTTCTGTGGTTTGCTGGAGTGCGGAGGCCCAGAGACTTGAGGGTGGCCCTTGAGTCTTTCAGGCTATGAAGCTGGGAGTCTGTTTTCTCCGAAAACAGGGCTGAACCCTCAAAAGGGGAGATCTTGAATTGTATGCTGGACCTCTTAAGGAAGCCCAGACACCTGTAGCTAGGTGGTCCGTTTAATGGCTATCCCCGAGGCCATGGTATGGGACACTGAGAATGCCACTTCAAGGGCTGCCTGAAGTGAGACTCAGGAAACCAGCTTTCCTTCCTCCATTAGAGAGAATTCTGCCCTGGAGTCCTCCGGCAACAACTCTGAATTTGGCCATCACTCCGCAGGAGTTGTAACTGTACCTGCCGAGGACAGCCTGGTGGTTAGAGATCCAGAGTTGTAGCTCCCTGGTGGCATAAATTTTCCTCCCAAAGAGGTCCATCTTTTTTGCCTCCTGATTTTTGGGGAGGGGCCCTGGCAGCTTTGGCACTCCCTAGCCATGGCAAATGAGCGGGAGTCTGGTGGAGGGTGGGTATACAGGGGCTCAAACCCTTTAAAGGGAACGAAACACCTCCACTCATTCCTCTTTGCCGTTGATGGCAAGGAGGCTGGAGTCTGCCACAATGTCTTAGTGGTCTCTTGTATAGTCCGTATTAGAGGCAGGGCGATATGGGAGGGACCAGAAGGGGCAAGGATGTCCACCACCAGGTCAGAGGACTCGATGACCTCCTCAGCCTGGATGCTCAGGTTTTGTGCCACCCTCCACATCAGTTGTTGGAGCACTCTACTGTCCTCTAAGGCTGGGGCCATTGATGTGCACGCCACTGCCTTGTCATGCGAGGAGGACGACGAGGCCCTAGTTGGGAGTGGGTCCTGCTCGCTACCCCCAGAACTGAGGGGATCTTTTGGCGCAGCTAGTGCCATGGTGGCCAGGGCTGGTGCCGCTGTCGGCACCCCAGTGAGTACGGCCAACATCAATGATGCCGGAGGTACAGCGACCATCTGGGAGGCTGAGGGCACATATGTCGCTGACCTAGAATAGGACCAGTGGCCGTGACCCGGGCATAAGGCCTAGGGGTCCAAAACGGCCACTGGGCTGCCACTGACCCGGCCACGGTCTCAGTTGGAGATGCTATTCTTGTCTGCGGGACCTCAAACTCCTGCTCCTCCTGGAGCAGTAGGACTCTGCTTCTGACTCCGAGGATTCTGTATAAGACGACCAGCGAGGAGCGGAGCCCGTCTGTGCCGGAGAGTGGCGTTTGGGGCTAGGACTGTTGTGGCTCCGCTACCCGCAAGTTCGTTGATAGCACTGGTGACCGGTGCTGAGGGGATGGCAATTGGCATGGCATTATCGCTGGTTTGCCCCTGGACAGCGCTGGGGTCTCATGGGTGCTTTTAGACTGCTGCGGGCATCCTGTCCTGTTTCAGGGGGTGGGGGAAGGCAGTGCTGTGAGGGTGATCAGGTCTTCAACCGCCTCGAATGCCTCCGGCGTGGACAGTATCTGCAAGTCACAGCTCTCCCAGACAAGGGAGGGGAGGGTGTCCAGACTCAAAAGGTCCTAGGGAGAGTCAGGAGTCAACACGACCCTCAATGTGGATGCTGAGCTTGTGTGGCCTGACGCAGGTCTCACAGCGGTGGGCTCCTTAAGCACTGCTCTGGGCATGGTGGAGCGTCCCCTCTCGGGTCTTCTTTTCTTGTGGGGGACTGGAGAATGAGAGTGCACGGAGCTCCTGTGAAGAGACGCCTGCCAGTGCCGAGAGTCTCTGCTGGAGTCCTTTCTTGGTGCCGACTCATGCCCTGACGGTTCCATGGCACTGCGCCCCGGTGCTGAGGTGCTCAGCGTTGGCTCCGCTGAGCTGGGGTCCGAATGGGCATGCAAAGCAACTTCCATTAGCAGTATCTTGAGGTGCTGCTCCCTCTCTTTTTGGGTCCTCAGCCGAAAACCTCTACAGATTTTGCAGCACTCCTTGAGGTGGCCTTTACCCAGACACTTCAGGCAGGAAGCA